CAAAAAATACTCTAAATGTTCCGATCCAATCTGACTTGTAATGCTGCCCGAATCATGCACTGTTCCTTCGTTGGCCAGAGGAGAACTGGCCCCCCGACTGAGTCTGGTTTCTCCCAAGGTTTTTTTCTCCATTCTGTCACCTGATGGAGTTTTGGTTCCTTGCCACTGTTGCCTTGGCTTTTGGCTTGCTTAGTTGGGGACATTTAACATTTAATATTCAATAATATTATTGATCTGCCTTACTTAAGGTGGACGTTGACGCAATTTCTTTTAGAAACAAACTTTGTTATATTGTTTTCATGTTATCACTGTGAAGCGCTTTGATACAATCTGTATTGTAAAAAGCGCTATATAAATAAAGGTGACTTGACTTGACTTGACTTGTTTTAACCCAAATTTGGGTCAAATATGGACAAACCCAAATGTTGGGTTAGAAAATGTAATTTAAAATTTTAACCCAACTTCAACTTTCACTTTCAACTGTACATTTTTTAAATACATTTTTAACCCAACATTTGGGTTTGTCCATATTTGACCCAAATTTGGGTTGAAACAACCCAGCATTTTTTAGAGTGTGATGACCGTAAATTAGTTAAAATCTCCTGGAATCTAGACGTACTAGGCGTAATTTGCGGGTGGGACATGTCCCCAACACTTTTTGCCAGGGTCGATATTGTCCCCACCACTTTTTGCCAGGGTCGATATTGTCGGATGTACAAATACAAATAAATAAAACATCTCCAGTTAACTAGCAGAGCATTCGTTTGTTAAATAGAGGCGATCTAGCGCTGAAATGTGTTGTTTTTTTAAATCAAGTGATCAAAGTGCTTACAGCCGCTGCAACCAGTTGTGCGGATACAGTGTTCTCTTGTTGCTCACGCACACGCTGTTTATTCACGTAAAAATTATCTGCACTAACAAACGACAAATTAAACCCAATGTACTATTTAAATCGACTGCTGGACATCGTAATGTTATTGTACACATCTGATATATGAATTAGCCTTGTATTAGCAACCCCAATAAAATTTGTTTGTATTATGAGAATAATGAGTAGTGCAAAAATGCATAATTATTAACATATGGACTTTGCATACTTGTAAACATATATGCAAATTTGCCAGAGAATGCTTTTCTCATTTTAGAAGAGGACAATCTGTTTAATGAGCCATTTCACAACACCAGATAACTACAGTACACAGTAATTGAGACAATGATCCTGTTTTCAAATGACACATGTGGTTAGTGAGGCATAACAACTCATGAGCAGATCACCCTTGAAGAAACCAAACGCTCAAGGTCTGGATGTGTTGAGCAGCTGGAGGCTTTTAGACCATCAACGATAAGAAACCATTAAGGTCACTGAGATAATCTATCAACTCTTTACACTCTTGATTTCAATACCTCCGAACATGATTCCACTCAGAGAATGTCATTAACGTTGGCCGCTCTCTATCAGGTGTCTCCTCCAATGAGGCACGTTTGGGGACAAGCCAGTGGCCAGATTTGCATTTAAATTACTTCATAATGACCGTGTTTCAAGACTTCCAGGTTTGGGCACAGATCAGAGCAGGTTCCCCTGCGAAATGACAACGTTAAAACTAATGTTCACAAGGATACAACTCATATATTTAAACCTCTGTCCCAGCCGCTGGTGCCTAAAGGGCATGTTTTGATTGGATTTCAGTGTTAAAACGAAAAGAAAGACAACATTACGATATGATTTAAGATCAGCTATTGCAGTAAAACACCCCAAGGAAACCATTCACCAAACTTTTTTCTTAAAAGTGGTTTTGGATTTATTTGAAACTTTAGTCCAAATTTCTGTACAAACGCGTTATCGAAATGAAGCCAGGGGTAAATACAGCTTGCTGTCAAATTCACAGTTAATATACCAAGAAACGACATGCCAGTAATGAAATGTGCTAGAAAAGGTGGCACGGGAGTTGTTTTGCCCTGAGAACTCCATGTTATTCATTCAGGTTTGGGTTTGTTGTCAGCACAATCAACAATTCAAAAAAGATGCAGCAAGCTTGAATCTTTAGATATAGTGATACATGAAAGAGAGCAAGCAAAACTCTTTCATTTTAACAGAAGTTATTAATTGCCAACATGAAACAAAAATGGACCCCGTTTGCTTTCTTAGTGCATATTCCAGCTCTTATTGTGAACAATTCAGCTTAGCAGTTTATATTTCACAGAAATTGTTTTTTATTTATAGGAATTATTTTAGTGTACCCACCATTAAGGTTTAAATGTCTTATTGAGATTCCAGATTCACAGAAATCCAAGAATTCCTGTCACATCACCCACTGGATTAATTTACTTACAGAATATATTTCACTAGAAAAAATAACCGCTTATAAAACAAACAAGATATCAGCTTTTAATGATACCTGGGATACCTTCTTAAATTTAACTTAACTCTAATTTACCCTAAGACTAGGGCCACGTACATATCCAATAGAACCTTTGCTATCAACTTTGATTTTCTCTTATTATTTTAAGACACAAAATACCCTCTAATCACTTGGTTCTCTTCTCTCTCTCTCTCTCTCTCTCTCTCTCTCTCTCTCTCTCTCTCTCTCTCTCTCTCTCTCTCTCTCTCTCTCTCTCTCTCTCTCTCTCTCTCTCTCTCTCTTTTCTCTCTTTTACTCTACACAGTCACATTACATAACTATTATCATACAGTCACACCACTTATTGACTAGCTAAATCCCTTTTATTTATTATTATTTGTGTTTTTTTTTCTCCTTTTTTTCCCCTTCTTTTTTTTAAAATTAATTAATTATTATTATTTTTTTTTATTTTTTTTTATGTATGTGTATACTGTTTCTGAACCCAAGTTGGGCTTGTATGTGTATGTTGTTTCTGGAAACAGTATACACCATGTATGTGTATGCTGTTTCTTGATCCCTTTGCAGTTGTCATTAGTTCTGGGCAAGTGTGGAGCCTGGGGCCTTGAGATAGTACCTTCACTCCGTCTGCCTGTACTCTTTTGCCCTGCATCTCTGGTTTTCTGTCAGGTTAAGCACTACATGTATTACCTTTCTTAATCCATTACATCTCGAGATACATTTAATTGGTTGCTTAAAACAAGGAAAAACAAAAAAACAAAACAAAAAAACACATAGGTCTAAGCAGGATAAGCGAGGCATGATCGTGGTGACCTGGGTTTGCATGGAGCTGGTTCCACGCTACACGTCTCGTTTTTTTCTTTTAATGCAATACACTAGCTGACATGCATATACATCAATCACGAGCAAAAAAAAAAGAGAAGAAAAAAAAAAGAAAAGGGAAGGAAAAAAACACACACACACAAAAAAAACCAACAAAAAAACCAACAACAACAAACAAATAGGGTAAGCATGGCATGTGTGTGACGGCCGGAGGAGGGGAGTGTTCTTGGTGGTGAGTGATGGGGGGTCCTTGGGCCCCAGGCTCCGGTGCACATCGTCTTATCGCCTATAGCCCATTGTAGTGTGTCTTGGCCAAGGGGAGATCAGAGACATCTTTTTAAAAAATTTTTTTTTTTTTTACCATATTAGCCTTAATTCTTTTTCATTTATTTATTTATTTGTTTGTTTATTTTCTTTTTTTAATTTAAATTTTTATTATTTTTATTATTATTATTACTATTTTGTTCATTTTTATCATGTCTGTTGTATCTGTAAGATTTTCTTCTGTTAAGTTATTTCCACTTGCACACCCAGTAATACATGCACACACACACACACACGCTTATGTATGTTATTTTCATGTTTACATGTTATTGTCTATGTATGAGACCTTTATGTTTTTTGTTGTCATAATATAATAATAAAATAATAATAAAAAAAAAAGAGATTCCAGATTCACTCAGAAATATGTCACATTATGGCAGTAATATTGGCAGGCCTTAAATATTGCAAATATTCACACACAACCTTTTTAAAAGGTCAGTAAGATTTTTTTTTATTTTTAATTAATACTTGTATTCAGCAGGGATGCATTAGATTGATCAAGAGGGACAGTAAAGACACTTATAATGCTACAAAATGTTTTATTTCAAATAAATATTTCTATTCATTAAAGCCTGAAAAAAAACTATCATGGTTTCCACAAAAATTTTAAGCAGCACAACTGTTTTCAACATTGATAATAATAAATGTTTCTATAATAATAATAAATAATAAAATGTTTCTTGAGCAGCAAATCAGAATATTATTGAATGATTTCTGAAGGATCATGTGACACTGAAGACTGGAGTATTGATGCTGGAAATTCAGCTTTGCCATCACAGAAAGTAATTGTTTTAAAATAGAAAACCATTTTAAATTGCAATAATTACAAAATATCACTGTTTGTAGTGATTATTTATTTTTGATTAAATAAATTAAGCCTAGATGAGCATAAAAGATTTTTTAAAAATCTTACCGACCCCAAACTTTAAATGGTAGTGTATTCCCATACAGTACTCTTTATTTGAGAGAAGAAAATAAAACTAAACGTGAAAATACAGCCAAAAAGAATGGGTGATTGCAGAAAATGGCTGACCTGATTATATTCAAACACCAAGTAAAGGGACTATGTGAAAAATGGCAGCAAGTGCTGACTCGTGAAAATCGACCTGTACCACATTTGTGAGTGGGAAAATGTAGGATTAGACGCCACACGTCAATGTTTGGTGTTGAGAAGCAACAATTTCCTTCAGTTACTCAGCACTTTAATTCACAGACAGATTGTCTGGTCTCCCCAGAGCGCTGGCACTTAAGACACAGGCAGTGAAGCTGGACAGTAAAAGCCTCTGCAGACTCGGCCTAAGAGCAGGTTCACCAGACAGAAAACACACATCACTGTTCTCAGCCTGTCATGGATGCGCTTCCACTGGGGACACCGTGCTCAAGAATGGGCCGCAGTGACAAAATTATTTCTGACAAGGCTTCCACTCTCCATTTTGCCCTTCATTTTGAGTGGTGCCTCTACAAATGAGCCAACTCTATCAATAAAAATCAAATGTACATTAGAATTATATTATTTATTTAAAAGCCCTTTGGTTTGGCATCTCAGAAAGGCGACTTTCATTTATACATTATAGTAAAATCGCTATATAATAATCACTGTGCTTATAAAATATCATTATGTACATTTATAACATTGATAAAAGGTACAAAACAATATGAAGCTGTCCATTTCTTCCACGACGAAAGTCATATTAAGGCAGTTTGTCTTAATATCCTTTACTCCTTCATATTGGTTGGTGTGGCGTTTCACAAACAAAGTTTCGTCTACCACAGTGATTTGTATCCCCTTCATGCTGGAAGCAGATCGTCTTTTCTGTGGTTCTGATTTGGTGCCATCAGGTCCAGATCTCAGTGGGTACCATGGCTTCTTTGGTGCCCACCGAGGGCATGAGATTCTCCTCACAGAGGAAGTCCAGAGGGAACTGGACCAGGAAGCCCCTAATCTTCTTCAGTAGCTCCTGAGCTTTGACAGGCTCCTCTTTATCAAGACCTGGTTTGGACTGGAAACTCAAGAGCTCCTGTTTGTTCCTCACCAGACTGGAGGGCAGACAGCGGAAAACCTGCAATGCCACCACATCAAAAGTCCTCAGTTTTTTGCTGCTCGCATTGTATTTGGCGATGCAGCACAGGTGACAAATTCTTTTTTTAAATGTTCATGACATTTTTATGGGCAAAAGTGGTCCAGTGTTGTTATTGTTAATTAAAACGATTAAAAACATTTGCTACCTGAAATAAAGCTGCAATTTTAAACAAAGTAATAAATGAAAGCTAAATTAGTAATTTTGTTGTGCAGTTTCTTTTTTTAGTATTTATATGAAAAATTGTCTATTATTATGCAAATCTAGGTTACTGATGGTGATGCCATTGTAGAAATGCGCAGAAATATTTGACAATTAATTTATTCTGTGAATAATAATGGGAGGTCATTATAATAAATAGATCAGTTTTTACTAAACCTTTAAATAAAATAAAAAATATGGATTGGTTATGAATTTTATGGAATGGAAACCTTTAAGAGCAAACTAAAGCTTCCTAATTGTATGTGTGAAACATTTGGTTGTGTGGCTGATATGCGTAAGGTATTAACTCACATTGCCAGCCTACAATAGTGTAATAAGATGGCTCGGAATAAGAATCTCTCCTTCCATTGAGCCTCATTATTACTGGCCTGCCATAAGTCTGAGTCTGAGAGTTTCAGTGGTGATTGAGTGCAATACCTCAATAATCTGACAAACGACCAAGCAACACCTCTAAATCATAATTCACATGTTCTATGTAACAGGAAGATGGAAAGTAGCCATCCTTAATTCCGTTACATGCCCAGGAGCGAGTGGAGAAAGACTCGAGGAATCACACACACCTTCTCGTAGATGGTGGCGTTCCGAGCCGAGATGCTCATCCAGACGTCTTTGTAGAATCCGTTACTGATGGGGTCACTGACATCAATGGTTGGATCAGTAAAGGCACCCAGAATGGTTCTGGTTTATGGAAAGACAAAGACTTTTAGCTGTGATTCAGTTGTGTTGCTAACACTAGGATGGTTAACGTTCCATCAGATCTTACTTGAAGCACTCCAGTCTGAGCTGCAGAGCAAACTTGCCAGCCTGGTACTCTTGACCGTCCATCACTGATGCCGTTGTTTCAGAGTCCTCAAAAATCACAGCTACCTCGCTGTCCCTCTTCCCCAACATGCTGCGGTCATTGATGTTGGCAGAGCCTGTAAAAAAAAAAAAATTTGAATGAAAAATAGACAAGAAAAGGAATAAACAATAACTAGACTTTGCTTATGTTGATGACACTAAAAATAAAGCAGTTTAAAATAAAATTTAAATAATAAATATATTTAAAAAATTGATTAATATGACAAAATTATTACAATTATTCCTGGTAAAACTTTAAAAAATTCTATTAAATATGCCTAGTAGCATTAAAACGCAAGACAAAGCAAAATAATTCTGAGCTGTATCATAAATAGCAATAACTATGAAGACACTATGTGCTCGACTGCGGGTTTGCTTAAAGGAATCGCACACGGATCATGACTCGCTTAATCGAACATATCAGGACAAATAATAATCAGAGGCAAGAAAACAAGATTTTTTTAATACTCTGCGATTCAATTTGATTCATTGTTTTATACGTGATTGGATCTCGAGGCATTTAATTCAATAGCACACAAATCTTCCACCTACAGAATCAGAGATAACTCAATTTCAGTATGCGGCTAAATGTTCCCGTCTGCCTCCTCCTGATCTATGGCTTTCCTCATTGGATTTCTTGTATCTTCTGCAGAAATCTAAAGCTTTATCTAAAATGACAACACGCTTATCTTTTATGAATTTATTCCGCTCCTCACACAAAGTATTATTTGAACTTTTTTTTTGACAAATGTGATATGTCTTTCAGTCATGTAAGAAAACAGAAGCATGATGATAGGGCTTAGCTTAGATCTGCCGAGCAAACGTCAATAACTCCACATCTGGCAGTGCAGTCATGTGTAAAATACACAGACCACAATGTTTTCCTCATTAAAACTCACTTCTTTTGGACACAAAAGTCTGTTGACCTCATTCCAAATTCATTATTTTAGGGAAATGACAAATGAGTTGACAAATGTCAAAACCAGCTATTTAGCTGCCAGATCAATGATTATATGGGTCTCTCAAGCCTTACCATCTACACTTCAAAATCAAATGATGTACCACAGTGTTCCACAAGGGGGAGTATAAGGCTCTAGCCATAAAGAAATGATGCACTTGCTCAGTGAGTTACTCAACACTTACAGAGAAAAGCTAATTATTTCTTTCAGCAAACTGTAATAATGTTAGCTTACCAATAATGACAGTGTTGTCATCAGCGATGAGCAGCTTGCTATGAACATAGATGAGTTCAGTCACCAGTCTGCCCTCCAGCTCCGCATGAGTCCTCAGACCACAAATCGAGATGTAGTTCATCCATTGGTCATCCACTGTGGGGGTGTAAAGAGAGAATCGGGTGAAATTCGGACTGTACAACACTGCACACCCCAACTCAACTGTGAAATATTTGCTTTGGATTGCCTCGGATACTATTATCATCACTTAAAAAAAAAAACATTCTCCTCCAATAAAAAAACAACCATGCATTATAGAACAAATTTGTTTTTTTCTTCTCTGTATTCCGTCACTTGTTTTTGTTTTCTAATGTTGTATTTTTGTTGAAAAAGACAATTTTGCCATTACAAATACTGGGTGTTCCATGAGTTTAGCACAACAGCTTCATAAATTTCACCCCAACTCAATATTGGCACAAGTCCTACTGCTGTCATTCTCTTACTGTATTTATGGAACCATTTGGCACATTTCGAAACATTTGTTCACTAGTCTTACATGTTGCACTGTTGTGGTAAACCACAGAAGAGAACTCCCTGCCACCACAGAGTCAGGTTCACATTAAACTATGTCACAATCACATCATCATGTCACTCCTCCCCTAACATCCGACACACAGAAAGAGAGATTGAGAAACAATCAGACTTACTTGCTTTCTTCAGTTGAGTGATTATGGAGAACTCTCCTCTGTTCATGGTCCTAAAAAAAATAGACATTTAGTCCATGATTAGGTAGAGAACAAATGGTTTTTCAAATGTTATCAATATATTATAGCAGCTCATTGTGTTCTCTCAATGACTTGACATTTTTCTGTCGGTTACCATGGTATCTTCCAAAAAGAAAGCTTATAAACCAGTAAGCCAGCTTTCTTGCCAGCACTTGTTAAAAAAACAAAAACAAAACTGTAAATAAACCTTGCAGCAGTTTTCCATGTTTAAAACACTGCTTATTTCCATTTATTTTCCAGACGAGTGAAACAAGTATTTTACACTTGGCTGTGTCTTTTATGTGTAATGGAATGAATTGGTAAGCTGGCACTGGAAACAAAGGTTGCACTGTCTAACGCGGGTCATTATCCTCACATCAGCGCCATTTACAATTTTCTTTGACAAATGCCTCCTTTCATCCAAATGATATGCAGAGAGCGATATTGGAAGGTTATCGTTGAGATGAGGATGAATATGCCTGACTGCAGGATGAAAGCAGGTTTGTCTCGTAGATCAGTGCTTCCTCTCTGATATAGTTGAAAGAAGCTGTGAAGCTGCTTAGCGTGTTGTCAGACTCATTAAAGTTTAATCAGGGGAGGAGATGAGAGAATGTGTCTGAGTTCACTAAAGAAGAAGCGTTAAATGCATCAATGGGAAACCAACTACTGCTGTGCACTTATGAATGACACTGCAGAAACTGAAACAGACAGTCAAGTCAGGCTCAGTGTGCATGACACATTTGGTTTTCAAGACAACATCAACCACGTGTATTGCTGTAACTAATAAATGTCCATCGACGTCTGGGAATGAAATGTTATTCAAAAGAGAGAAAGAAAAAACAACATTTTCTTTCATCAAAATGTAATTTAATAGTATTCTAGGGAGGGAAAATAATATTGTAGAATCATAGTATATTATGTTTCACATCTACATGACCTAATCAAATTCTGATGAAAACAATCAAGTCCCATCCTACATTACTTTTCTTTCTTCAACTATGAAATGCAACACAATACAAAAATGAAACGTGTTGCAAATACATGTTGTTATAGTATAAATTGAAAACAAAAATTACAAAGTACTGTTCAAAAGTTAATGGATGGTAAAAATTGTTTCTGTGCCATAGATCAGATTCAAGTTTTTTTTCCCCGTCTATCCTTCCCAAATGTTTTGAATTTGGATACTGCCCAACATAATGTAACGTAACGTGTGTGTGACCTGTGCTGCCCTTTCTTTGCTCAAAGACACGTGCACAGTAACGATTTGATTCCTACCTGTAGTTGAAATGCATAACAGCCTGGAGTGCATTTCCTCCACCTGTGGTAATGTCTCCCTCAAATCCAGGCAGCAGGGGAGTCACCACATACACACGGAACTTTTTATTCTCCCTGTGACAAATTACAGCAAACATCAATCCCAATACACCCGTGTAAACGCACATATGCTTATTCCTAAATCATATACCCTCACTTCCATTGAAATGAATGGTAAAACATCCTTTCCAACCCATTTCTCTTTAGCAGCATATCTTTGAGTTCAATCTGTGTGCTGCCTCCATAATTATACAGTCATTACGAATGGCTCTTCTCCCAGAGAGCACATGCCAACACTGTTGCAGCACACACAACAGCGCAGTATTTCAGTATTGAGGGCAATGCCTGGAATGACTAAATGAAGAGTGGCTCGCCCACTGCCCGTGTCTGGCTCACATCGGTGCAGTGGCAGGTGCTAGCTTCTCATTAGCCGTCAGAGCGCATTAAAGACAGGCCTGTCACTGCAGCTGAGCCTGCATGCGTGACAGCAGCGGCGAGAGACTCGTGCCTCCTGTAAATCAGATACTTCTCAGGGAGCGACAGTTGCCAGGACTCCATTAGCATTGGAGAAGGTGGTAATTTACTGTTGATCTCACATGCTTTCATTGAAGAAGTTAAGCTATGCTATACTAATAGTAATATTGATATATACAGGAAAGATGGGTTTGCTTGCATGTGTTGATATGCATGTGTAGGGGCGTCAAGCAGCACCTATTTTTAAGTGGGGCAAGACCACCTAACATGATAATCTGGTTATACAATTTTTAAGCTTGTAAATGGGACCTAAAATTACATACACAATTCAGTTGCAATTATAGGTGATCTATTAACCCTTGTGCATCCTTATGGGCATTTTTGTCTTTTTCAGTTTTTCTTTTCTTTTTTTTATCACTTTGCCTGTGTTTATGCTAACTGCATAACATTTGGCACAGGTGTGTATTACTATTTTTATTGGAATTTTACAATTTCACAAAATACTTCCACTCAGCACCATTTTCTGGACAAAAATGTCTGCATTGAAACCCATTAAAACTGCCATTTTTAATCCCAGGGCCATTTAACTGGCCATTAAACTACAAAATGATGCAATCTTTGTTAAGAGGCTTTCATTCTGTTGGAAAGGCTTCAAAATTATAATTTTTTTACTATTTCTTACCAGATGGTGCCATTTTCTCAGGTTTGGCCTTAAAGCAAATACTCGCTTTATTACTGTTTTCTGCTTCGGGATATTATAGAGCCAATTGGATAAATTATGCAGCGATAATTGTGTGGGTGTGTTGGTATGGATGTCAGAGTGTGATTTGAATGTGTGTTATAAAAAAAATTTGTGCGTGATTGTAATATTTGAGAGAGAAAAACTCTACTGCAAATAACAATTCCAACCACTGTGTGCACCAGTGGAGTTTTACTGAAACATAATGGCAACCAATGGGGAAAATGTGGTACTGCGCCCAAACAAAATATTACTGAAACCTCAAATTTGGAACACAACTTGTTTAGATTTATGCCTTTGATTTTCTAGCCGTTTTAGAGTTCAACATGTTTCATAAAATATAAATTTTATATAAAATAATGTTCATAAATCATTTCATAAACTTAAACCTATATATACCGGTACCTAACTTTTTTTTTTTTTGGTTTTACTTTTTACAGCAATAATCTGCCAAGGGTCTTCTTTAAAATGAGACCAAACTTAAAGGGGTGGTTTAGGATTTTGGACATCAGACCTCATTTTCCAAGTGAGCCTGGGTGTTATTTATCAGTGGAGACAGTTTTCAAAAAATGTCATCCAGTCCTTCCAGTTGCATAGTTCGCCGGTGCTAGGCTCTCTATCGGTATCTGCTAGCCTTTTACCCACTCCACAGTACACCAAAAGCAAATAAATTATAACGCCAGACTATCGATGTAAATGTCTGTTGAGAGAATAATGTTAGAAATCAAACTACCCTTTCATCGCATTGCAATAGTTATACTTTGTTCACTGTATTTATTAGCACAGTCTACAGCAGTGGCGGAGTGATATTAAGTTAGCTAGGCAACTGAGAGAGGTAGTGAGAGAGAGAGGTAGAGAGAGGTAGTACAGGTAGTCCCGACTGTAGTGCGCTTCTGTTCTGTGTTTACTTTTCGGTGCAGTACTACTAACCGGAGTAAAGTAAAATTCCGCCGCTGCTGAGAAACTAGTTCCTGTAAATGTAATGCGATCATTGAGATGCAAGAGTACTTTGATTTCTAACATTATTCTCTCAACAGACATTTACATCGATAATCTGGCGTTATGATTTATTTGCTTTTGGTGTACTGTGGAGTGGGTAAAACTGTTTTTAATGGCAGGCTAGCAGATACCGATAGAGAGCCTAGCACCGCCGAACTATGTAACTGGAAGGACTGGATGAAATTTTTTTAAAACTGTCTCCACTGATAAATAACACCCAGGCTCACTTGGAAATGAGGCCCGATGTCCAAAATCCTAAACCACCCCTTTAAGTCTGTGCTCCTAGGCTTCAACTTTTTATGACAGTTTTTTGACACAGACATCTTTGTCCACTGTGGACCTATGTGTATTACTTTTTTTTAATTGATGCACAAGGGTTAAAAAAAGTTAACATAAAATCGAAATCTTTTTTATTTTTAAATAAATAATTTTATAAATTAAAATTTCATTACCTTTAAAAAACCTAACTGCTTCTGGATTTCACATCATTATTTTTGTTGTATTGAAAAAATTTCATAAAATGATCTGTAATTTTCTTAAAAGCATAAATCCATTGTTCAGTCAAACTGTCCCGAATGATTCTCCTAAAGCTAGTAGCCAATACACCTGTAGAGATCTGCTAGGCGTCCTCTCTAGTTTTCTTGCAGTGCCTTGATTCCTTAAAGCAACACTATGGAACTTTTCAACCTTCATAATATATTTCCAAGACCCTTGTGATGGTACATCGACTTACAATAGGTTAAATGACACGTCAGCCATAGCCTGACGTGGTCTGTATCGCTTTTACTCGCACTATGTAACTTCGGGTTTCGGGTAGTAACCCGAGCACAAAAAGAACTACAAAACTCGACTGCTTTATGGCATACGTCACTTCCCCCACCACTTCCTCAAATTGTCTATGGCCATTGCAGACATCCCAAGTCTATAGCGTCTCCCTGATGCCCGCAAATTAGTTCAAATCTGCCGGAATCTAGAGCGCGCATGCGAGACAGAACATACTGCGCGCATAACATACATAGCGCGAGCCCGGCAGAGAGGGAGAGAGCGAGAGACCTTGCGAGTGTGCCTCACGAAAGCTAGTCAACCCGTGCGACCGTAGGCTGCGGTAGGCTAAATTATTTACGACAGCGGTAATGGACAATTCCGCTTCCAACCTGTAGGGCGACCGCTGAGGAAAAGTTCCTTGGTGTTGCTTTAAGTCGGGGTTTTTTTCACCTAAACTGAACAAATCCTTGTATTTGCTCAGCATCAGTGCATTCCATGCACTATACTAATAAATGCTGAGTTGTCATGACTGAAGTAGGCCTTTATGCTAAAATGTATAAAAACACTTTTTAGTTACAATGTGCAAGATTATTACTTTTTTTAAAAACAAAAACTCCACTAAACTACTAAACTCCACTGGTCCAGTGAATGGTGATGAATTACAATCAGTGTTAATGCTTTAGGATTCACACACTTACTTGTAAGCTCTGATAATTCGCTCAATAATGGCATCACCAATCTTGTTGTAAACATGTTTGTTATCGGCACAGCTGATGAAGAACTGGTTCTGAAACGAAACAAAACAAGAAAACTGTAACATGCCTGTTAAACTGAATTGATTGTTCCTGAGTCAGGCGAATAGTTGCATAATTACTTCTGCTAGGCCACGACTTGGGCAAATAATGGCACATTTCTGTAATCACATAGCCTACATTATTTGTGGCATGAATTTTAGACAGTGGGCCTCCCCTTTGAAAAAAAAAACAGACTCCACTAATTGGTCATCATTTTGTCACTACTTTGCTTTGATTGCATAAACTGTGATGTTCTTTTAATAAATGAATAAATAAACAAGTTCTAGATTTATTTATTTATTTTTTGCTTTACTGAATGTGCCATAAACACAACTTTTAGTGTTTTTCCTTTACAAAAAAATAATAATGAAATCTAATTTTCCCACATAACTGTAGTATCCAGGATTTTGTTCTTCCCTAATTAAATCATGTCCTCAGAGGCAGAGCTAAAGAAAATATTATTTGTCTTTTCTTTTATCATTATTATTATTCTCTTCAGTTCTTTTAAAATGCATTTTCAATTGTATACATTTTATTTATTATGTTTTACTCTGTGAATATCCAAGACATGGTTCTTCCAGAATTTCCACTAAATCATTCTTGGCACCTCCCTTGATATGCTCTGATAACCGTTGCGGTGTGCCATTCATCAATAATATGAAGCAACTGAAATGTCAACATTGTTTTATAACATAACTACAATGCTTGTCAACACATTTGAAGCATATCAGTGAATGCTCACAGACAGTGTGAAAGGGAAATTGTGTACCTCAATGTAGATGAAGTGCTTGCTCTTGGCAATGACCTGAATATAGGCATTATGAATGGACTCCTCGTAGTGCTTGATTCCCGCAGACCAGTCTGCTGCCGACCGCAGAACCTAAGAGACCATTTACATTTATGGGCATTTTTATTGCCATTTATGGCAAAGTTACTTAGTTTTCATTCAAGGCATCCATTTTCTTTTTATCAGCAGGCATATATGTGTTCCCTGGAAATCAAACCCATAATGTTCCTGGCGTCAATGCTCTAATAGTTACATGTACAGGAAATTATGCTTTCTCACCTGGACTTTGGTCTGGACAGAGTCTGGCACTTGGTACTTCAGATCATTGCCTGTGGTGTGAGATTTGGGCAGTAGAAATGGGTAGGAGAGTGATCTGTACTTTGGCTTCATTATCTAAAAGCAAAAAGTCCTTATTGTGACAGAACCGAATAATGCTTCATCAAATGTCAGACCTTAAAGTTATATTGAAGAAGTTCAAAGGGAATTCAGAAGGCTGTCAAGCATAAACAAAATTTAAATTGTGCAGGTCATGGCCCAAGCACAGGGGTGGTAAATCCCTCACCTTGGTGAAGTTCCAGCGTTGTATAAAGTGCCTGGCCACATCCCTAGCTGCTTTCCCATGCACCACTGAGGAGATGTCATGCCAGGGCATTCTGGGGGTTGTGTACCTGTCAATAAAATCTATAGTCGAGCACAGTGTTAAAAAGCAGGATCGTAAACATCTGAAATGCATGGAAAAGACTGCGTTTAATTACACAATTAACCTTGGATAACCCAGATTAATGATCTTTGAAGTTAAGAAAACAAAAGCCGCCAGGCAGTAAACGTGTGGCTCACCATCAAAAGGCTTGTCTAGCTGAACCCAGTCTTTGTAGACGAAGTTGCAGTAGTCTTTTCCATGCCAGAAGCGTGTGTTTCCCATCAGCTCTCCCACTCCTGTCTGAAGACTGTGCACTGAGCCACTCTCTGCACACACAAGACATACAAAACTCATCAAAACACGAAAGATCTTTTGTAATAAATGACAGTTACTTTCAAATCTACTAATTTTACTCAGCTACAATAGAAAAGGGTTTTTTTTTTTCATGAAGAGAGAAACCAAAGGCATACTGTACACAAATAAACAATATGTGAGAGAATGAAGGCTAGAAAATAACTAGAAAATAAATATAAATACAAAAGAGGTTAATATAAATAATAGTGTCTAAATTAAAACAAAATAGTTCATAAAGAGTTTAAATATAGACAGTGATTTACTTGTAATATTTTTTATATATATTTAGGTTTAAAATAAAAGAGTTTGATGCTTATAATTTTTCAGAGTGATCTCTTTTAAACCCTACTGTATAAGCTGAAATATGTACGTTGCAAATAAAATTGTTAATAAAACAGATTACTGTTACAGATCTGTTTATAAATAAATGACTGACATCTGATTAGACCAAACAAACATCAGATTACTGACACATTTGGGCCATTATTTTCCATGTCAAACATGCATGCCATTAAAAACCACTGCATGTGTAGTAATATTTTAGATTTATCCGAAGTAAAAGGATCACTCCATAATCTAAAACTTAATAATTGGTGGGAAACAAAGGATTGGTTATCTTAATGGCAAATGAATGTGACTTTGGTGTTAGAATCAGCGACAAATGAAATCTACCCCAAGGTCAAAGTAATTCCATTAAAGCATATCTCTGATGTCTAGTCTTAAGCCAGTCTCAAATGCACTTAATCCTCTCTCAGACAGACTGCAAACCGATCTATACGTGCGTCTTCTATGGCAGGGAGAACAAACCGAGAGAGCAAAACCAAGAAAATGATGGGTCACTCGCTCGAGCCGGGGCAGGGTGTCTAGAGCAACACCTACAGTATCAGCCAGAGAGGATAAGCATCACAGCACAACCAACAGACAGGGAAAATATAGAGACAAGAACCACAATGACTGACACTGACAAGTAACACAATTTTGACCTTTTTGCATGATTTACTGATCCAGACAGTCTAGAGATATAACACAATTTGGACTGGGAATATTTGCACACACCCAGACACCCCGGCCAGAAAAATAAAAAATATGCAATCATTGCATTGATTATTATGTTTCTAGTATGCTATATGTTTGGCAACAGTTCTTCTAACCCTAATTAGTGGAGTGTGTAGCTTTTCATATCTTAAAAAAGCCATGTACTGTAGGAAGACACATCATGGCCATATTCCAGAATGACAAATGCTCAAATTGTGAAAGAATGGTAGGGAGGGAGCATGAAGAATCACTTTCACACATGAATTGGCACAATAATCATGCTGTCTAATCATGATATGCCACACCTGTGAGGTGGATGGATTATCTCGGCAAAGGAGAAGTGCTCACTAACACAGATTTAGACAGATTTGTGAACAATATTTGAGAGAAATAGGCCTTTTGTGTACATAGAAAAAGTCTTAGATCTTTGAGTTCAGCTCATGAAAAATGGGGGCAAAAACAAAAGTGTTGCGTTTATAATTTTGTTCAGTGTATGATGTACTTTTTATTTGGTTCCAGATAAATTAACTAGTTACATGGCATTTACAGCTCAGGGGCCGTATTCACAAAGAATTTTAAGGCTAAAAGTAGCTCCTAACTGGCGAATTTAGGAGCAACTCCTAAAAATAATGGGCGTGTCACTCCTAACTTTAGGACTCCTAATTTGTTTCACTAAGAGTAATTCACGAAGCATTTTAGCCCTAAAAGTAGCACCTAAGTCTGGGACAGCTTAAAAGAAGTGGAGAGGACTCCTAACTCACTAAGACCAATTCACAAAGGATTGTAGCGCATACCACCGCCTCTCGCAGTCGTCCGGGGTCCGCAACACAAGCGGGAATGCTGCATTGATCTGCAAACAAATCTCCTGTGTGTTTTGCTTGATATCCCAGTGGCGAATTTTCCATTTATCTTTTTTTTTTTAAAACACAACTGAGCCAGCAGCAGTAATGGTGTGTTCACACCGAACGTGAATTTAATTATTTGCGCGAGTAGATTACATACAAAGTCAATGCAAAGACGCGAATAGACGTATCATTCGCGCCGGGCGTTGCGATTGACGCGAATTGGGCGATGCGTTTGCCGCGAATGTCTTCCGCGCAAGTTGAAAAATTTGAACTCGAGCGAATGTTCAAGCGTCTAACTAGACGCGATAGACTCGTATTTGACGCTCTATTCGCGTTCGGTGTGAACACACTGATCCTGCGTCCAGTTGGGCTTTCTTTTCGCGAGTTCATAATCCACCGTCATCCAACTATTACATTAGGCTACTTCAATAGGAGCAACATTTCCTTAGTCTATTTAGGCTAATAGGATGTCAATTAATGTGTTAATGCAAATTAAGTGTTAATGCAAGTGTCGTTTTTCATTATTAGGCAAGTGGCTGTTTTCATTAGGGTAGGCTACCTTGATTTAATTTAATTTACGCCTTTTTTTCTCTCTCTCTGCCTTTTTAGAATTACACTTCACTGGGGTATGCACAAACATATGCATTTCGATGACATTACTATTATTATTTTGTGTAGGACACAGACATATTTAGATGTCGTAATTCCATGATTTGTTGCGTCTGTGTTATGTTCCGCATGATGGCCCTGTCATCTAACAACCAATCACCGTGATCATTGCGAGGAAGCTCGTGCATGAGAATTGACGTCATCCATAGCAACGAAGACTCACTCTTAGTTTAGGAGTCGTCATTTTTCCTTACTAAGAGTAGGTCTGAAAGGCGTTGTGAATAACTTTTAAGAGAAAACTCCTAGCTAAAATATTTTAGTGCGATTTAGGAGTACTCCTAGTGGTAACATAAAAATCTTTGTGAATACGGCCCCTGGTGATTGGTTAAAAAGGATTGGGATGTGGAACTGAAAATCTATTAGCAAAGGTGACAGTCCAGTCCAATCCTATGTATTATAACTACTGTAAATGGAAAAAAATATAACCAGTACACAATGATGATTTTCATGTTTCAGTGAACTATCTCTCATTTTCTTGGTTGTTAAGGTCACAAAGGAATTAGTCATTAGCAGACTCAGAGAACATCACACAAAAGAAGCAAACACAGTTTGTATTGTTGCTGCAGTTTGAGCAGGTTAGTCGCAGTAAAATATCTTACTATTCGCGCTGTCGATGCTACTAATGCTGTCAGCATGATGAAGGCCACGTTGGATGTGACGGTACAGGCTGAAACGTGTCTTGCGAGTGCGACCGATGCCTTTTAGTTTGGGCAGGTCCACTGAGTCACCAACCATCGACTGTCTGCTGTTTCCACTGGTGGACACTTTTTTCTTGGGTGTGGATGAATTCAGTCCCTGAGTCCCAAAACAGACATAATTCCACTTCATTATAACTAGCAGAAACCTCTAATCAGAGTCTTTCATTTCTAACTTCAAAGCCAAAAAAGTAAGTTAGGTGTGTCATTCATGGGTGTGGCACAAATAATGCAGCCAAATTAAGCATGTTTGTATGGACATGATGATGCTGTCCCTAACCTGCTCTATGGCCTGAGCAACAGAACGTGTTACACTTCCCACGTCTGTCAGTCGGTGCTCACAGTCATCCCAGCGGCCATACGCCAGGTCAATTCCCCCAACAAAAGCAACTGATTGGTCGATGACTACAATCTTCTCGTGGTGTGCCCATAAGTAGACAGAGGAGGACATGTGATCAGGGTGTCTCATCACCTTTAAGAGAGAGGAAGAGTTATAATCAATAAGATGTCACGAGATATGCAAAAGCAGATACAAGTCACACACAGCTTACCTTTATGTTTGGATGAAGGTGCATTAGTGTTCTTTTGCTGTATTCACTATTGATGCCGAGTGCCAGCTCCACTTCCTTATACAGCATAACAAAGATCCTCACTCCTTGTTGCTAAAAGTAAATAAATAAATAAAAAGTCAAAGTCCTCCTATAGTCAATCTTATCCCTTAAAACTCATCTTTGATCACCAAAATGGCATATTTAAATGTTTTTCACGTGAAAAAGTTTTATGAATGCCTTAAAATAGCTTGAATGTAACTCTACACCCTTGCTTCCTTTAGTATATGCAGATTCATGAATATGCAAATGAGCCCCGCCTCTCTACAATTAGATGTATCAGAATAGCGATACGTTTTATGTATCACTCTTTACAAAGTCAGACACATAACGGTAATTAATATGATTAGCCTTTTGTTTGACTGTTATCAAACAGCTAATGTGTTGCTAATGTTACACGAATCATGTTCCTGTTAACCATCTCAGGGTCAGACAGCTGCCTTCTAAAAATCAGCATCCTTACAAACGCTTTGAACAACTTAGAACGTCAGTGGAGAAAGGCACATGGTTTATCATAACATCGTAATACACATCAATCATATATATAATTCACACGCTATATTGCCAAATGTACCCGATTTTTCATACAAAAAATATCCCGGGATAACCTGGCTTCTCGAGACTCCCCTGCTTCATAGCAGTTAAAGGGGCTCTAAGCGATGTCACACGTTTTTTTAGGCCGAATTTTTTTTTGTCATATACAGCAAACATCTCCTCACAATCCGCTAGCTGCCTGTCCCCTGAACACACTGTAAAAAAACGCAGTCTCTGTAGACACCCCAGGCTCCACAAACGGCAACAAAAACAAACTGGGCCAACCCGCACCACGAAACAAAACAAACAGTGTTCCAGCCAATAACCGACACGAAGGATTTGGGGGTGGGGTTTGGGGGGTTAGTGTGCGTACACATGAATGGGGGTGTGGAGGAGAGAAGCATGAAGAGAGAAATTAGAATTATATTCTCTTTAAGTTTGATATGGCCGACACACGACCAAAGAGACGACGTTATGATGAACAAATTGCAAAGAAGAGGGAAAAGGATAAGGAACGTGCAAAGTCCCGAATATACATTGGAAAAGCCTTCGAAAGGTGGCAAGAACTCCGCCGGCAGAAGGGCTTCCAATCCGACATTCAGGTAGCTCTGTTTTTGCTGGACAGGTGGGTAAATCCATTTTTTTGTTTTTATAAATGGACGTTCGTGTTCGCCTAACCAACACAAGGGAGGGGGAGGGGACGGGATGAGGAGGAGGCAGGGTCAAGCTAGCCTCCGTTTTGTTTGACAATACTTCGAACGTCAACAAGAAGTGACGACACCCAACATTGCTTAGAGCACCTTGAAACACCGGCAATTTCAAACCACGGTTTTGAGACCATCTTTTTTTCACTGCAGTTTTAAGGATTAAATACTGAGCAATGGTGCTGACTTATGAATTTGCACATGGTCTGTCTTAAAGCATATTAAAAACACTGAATAGACATAAACAACAATAAAAAAAACTTGATTTTCACCACAGGGGGTCTTTAAAGTAATGAAATAAGTTAATAAATAAGTGAATAAGTAAATAAATAAATATAACCTTACTTTGAAACTGGAAACATATTTGTGTGTTGCATTTCACATACATGTTAAATTCTTGTGAGCATGGCACCAGGGACAAATGCACCAGAGTAGTGTCAAGAGGACTTACAGCCTTGCGCTTCAAAATGCAGTCGAGCCTCCAGCGATTTCCTTCCACCACAGGCCTCTTCAGAAAGATCTCAGGGCTCAGCCTGCACATTACAAACACAATCATAGATACAACATTCTGCAGCACAAGCATACCTACTTTAAAATCTACATGAAAATCAAAATGGACACAGCTTACTTTTTTAATACACATTCCTGGTATCATTGTGCACATCATTCATAAAAAATATGTAATTTAATTTAAAAAGTAAAATAAAATATAATTGCTCAACCAAGTGCCAAGTCGTCAAGTGTTTTAGGAAGGAAATAGTCATATGTCATATTTAACTGCAAAGGGAATAGTTGTAATAGTCAAAGTCATAATTAATTGCAAACTCACATTTAGATCTGGCTCAATTTTTATAGTGAATTCCAATAAAATAGTTTTCATGCAGACATAAATCAATGTTTAAATATTTAATATTCTACAAGTACAACTACATCAAAAACACATTTAAATAGGCAGCGATTTTTTATATAACCACCTGCTCCGTCACACACAGAAGATCAGACCATTGAGTCTATTCCAGGAGTGATATTTTTTAAATAAGGAAGACTGAAACTCGACACCAGTAAAGTAAGAGATACCAGTCTTGCTGTATAGCATACACCTCCCACTCTGAGCCCCTGATCCACTGCCACAAATTCTGCATGTGGGCACGTAATATCTATAGCAACGCTACTGCAGAGCATTACCAAACAAAGAGAAATAAACAAAATACGATTTCATATCAGATTAAAGAGTGCATTTTTCATTCATGGAAGATAATAATCAATCCAGTCAATCTTTGACAGTTAACTGTGGCTCTTTTCTTGCATCCCCATTGCACACTAAACAAGAGTATCCTAGTTGACTATCCCGATTTAAACTTATACAAAGAACTATGAAGGAAGGAGTTTTAAAAAAAATCCTCTGGCCATGATTTGTCTCACTTAAATGAGCATGGACTGACAATGGTCCCCCCTAAACAAATACATGTACGCCATGTGCTTTCTCCAATCACACACAACTACACAAACTATTTATAGGGGTTGATTTCCCAGAAAAATGCAAACACGGTGACTTTGTGAAGTTATCAAAACACTGTTCTGTTCGTTGAAGCGATCTGTCCAGTATGAGATAGCAACATTGGCTCAACAAATAGTGTGAGTTGGGCCAAGACTATCTGTCAGCCTGAACATGTTTTCTTCTAGAAGGATAAACAGCGAGTACATACCACCAGTCTGTAATGAAGATCTCCTCTTTGGCCTCCTCCAGCGCATTTGCAACATCCTCCATGTAGGTTTTGCCATTCACATACCTGGACAGTTGAATTTCTTTTTCTTTAGTTGTCAGATATCACAGAGTAGAGGGTAAAATAGAAAGCTAAACATGACATTGTTTTTGTCTTAAATGGAAAGTTCATTAAAAAATGAAAATTCTGTCATTATTCACTCACCCTCATGTCGTTAAAAAGCTGTATGACTGTTCAACTGTATAACATTGGACCACATTGTCTTTCATTGCATGGACAATAAAAAACCCATTGTGACCTGAAAGTCATTCAGGTTTGAAACGACATGAGGGTGAGTAAATGATGTGTTTATTTTTGGGTGAACTCTTAGATTAAATATACCATTTAGACGGTATGTTCTCCTCCTCCCTGGCAAAAGATCCGAAGCGGTGGGACCTTAAAAAGGCCTTGCCATGTTTCCGGACAAAGCTTTCAATGGCCTGACCCCACCACCGTGCATGTCTGTAGCTATGAAATTTCAGAACTAGTTTCCTGCACAAGACACAAACAAAAATAAATTGTCTACAAGCTGAGAGAGACATATATAAGTTACATTAAATTTTAGATTAAGTGAACACACCTGGACAGGTTCTCAATGCTCACTCCATGCTTGGTCTCTGTCTGTTTGGAGTCCATTTTGATGCTGAATTCATTGTCCACCAGCAGGACAAATGAAATGGCACCAGTGTCTAGCTTCATGTACACCAGAAAAGAGTCCTTCACAACAAGCCACCTAAACAGAGAACACAAAAGATTTCATCATTAGACTCCATCACAACCATAAGGTCAAACCTAACCTTAAGTATGCTTCTCTAAAGCATTATTATACCGAGAGCAGTGAAAGTCAGTGATACAGTGTCAGTTTAATCAGAGAACGAACGTAGCATGGTATCAGTGGAGCAGAGATAAACAGCTTGCTAGGCTCAAAGAGACTTTATGGTGTGTGTGTGTGTGTGTGTGTGCGGGTGCCCGCTCTATCTGAATTGTGTATTTTCACAGATAACACTGCTTTTAAAGAGTGTCTCACAAATGTTAAAGCTCAAAGTGAAGAGCACAGCTTCACAGCATGAATGCATTTCATCTGCTCTTGTGATTTCCTTAAAGAAATCAGCAATAGACTTTTTTGTTTTATGAGTAATTACCTCTTGGACCAGCGGTAGCAGACTTCATTGCGGCCACAGCAGTTCATACCTGGTATACGGTGACCTCCTGACCTTTTATAAACAATGCCTTCTCTGAAAGATACAGGTTTGTATGAGTGAGTTAAAGGGTGAATATCATGAAATCCATTAAGAACTTTGTGTCCTATTTCAGATACTAAATGAGATAATAGATGTTGCAAAAATTTTTACATATTTTAGGAGCATCACATATTTTTTCATGGTGACATTTTCATGACAAGCATTTCCACTCTCAAATTCTCATGACTTTTGGCATTTATGCATCATGGAAACATTTGTGATTTGTCAGTCACGCATCCAGAAAAACATCCTGACACATTATGGTAATGTGTTGCACATTAAAGTATTTATGCTTAACGTGCTTAATTGAAACTACTGTCAGAATGTAAAAATAAATCAATAAATATTAAAAAAAAATGAATTCAGAAAGCCTAATTAAATAAAGTTTTATTTACTTTATGCAATATATTTCAACATAAAATGAATAAACTGATCAGTGTGAGACAATAATAAAACAGTAAAGCAAAAAGAGTGTGTCCATACAAGCCTTTAGGGCCCAAGTCCTGAATGAAGGACAACTGGCTTATATCAATAAACTCCATCTGGAAAAGAGAAACAATTCTGCTTAAAACTAGTGAGACAGAGACACAGCTTCAATTAAAAGAAGTTACACTAAATCCTCAGCTATATTGACCCTCGGGGGGTATTAAAGAGGAAGAGAGGGAATTTGAGAAGAGGAAGAGGGAGAGGGAGAGGGAGAGAGAGAGAGAGAGAGAGAGAGAGAGAGAGAGAGAGAGAGAGAGAGAGAGAGAGAGAGAGAGAGAGAGAGAGAGAGAGAGAGAGAGAGAGAGAGAGAGAGAGAGAGAGAGAGAGAGAGAGAGAGAGAGAGAGAGAGAGAGAGAGAGAGAGAGAGAGAGAGAGAATTACGTATGTCCTTGATTAAAGCTGTTGGAATAGCACTGAGCTGAGAGAAAGCGCTGCGCATTAACACGCACAGGACACACAGTCTCCATCTGTAATATCGATCCTCACGCTGCTGCTTCATTAAAGATAACTCAACGTGAGTTACATCAGGGCCTGAACTCTATAATCAAGTGTGAGCTTACGGTGGCGTAGTATTTTCGGTACATTGCCATCCTCAGCAGCTTGTTAAGGTAGTCTTCCAGTTGTTTCTGCAAAAAGAAAAACACATTTGTTAGTTGGTTTTAAAAGTTTAATTATGTGGCACCAGTTTTGTTCCATGATAGATAATGGTAAATCTCAGAAAGTAAAAATGGAATTCAAAGTCTCCTAAATATATTTTCTGGTGATGACATTTAAACCTGAAATATGAAATCTAGCTTTCAATTATTTTACCAATGTAAACATACTTTAAATATATAATCTATATTACCAACATATAGCATATATAAGCATTACATAATGTTTCTAAGTGTTATTAATGAAAGTAGTTATAAAATATTTAGAATATATATAAGAATATATTTATATTAGGATCTACACTCACCTAAAGGATTATTAGGAACACCAAACTAATACTGTGTTTGACCCCCTTTCGCCTTCAGAACTGCCTTAATTCGACGTGGCATTGATTCAACAAGGTGCTGAAAGCATTCTTTAGAAATGTTGGCCCATATTGATAGGATAGCATCTTGCAGTTGATGGAGATTTGTGGGATGCACATCCAGGGCACGAAGCTCCCGTTCCACCACATCCCAAAGATGCTCTATTGGGTTGAGATCTGGTGACTGTGGGGGCCATTTTAGTACAGTGAACTGATTGTCATGTTCAAGAAACCAATTTGAAATGATTCGAGCTTTGTGACATGGTGCATTATCCTGCTGGAAGTAGCCATCAGAGGATGGGTACATGGTGGCCATAAAGGGATGGACATGGTCAGAAACAATGCTCAGGTAGGCCGTGGCATTTAAACGATGCCCAATTGGCACTAAGGGGCCTAAAGTGTGCCAAGAAAACATCCCCCACACCATTACACCACCACCACCAGCCTGCACAGCGGTAACAAGGCATGATGGATCCATGTTCTCATTCTGTTTAAGCCAAATTCTGACTCTACCATCTGAATGTCTCAACAGAAATCGAGACTCATCAGACCAGGCAACATTTTTCCAGTCTTCAACTGTCCAATTTTGGTGAGCCCTTGCAAATTGTAGCCTCTTTTTCCTATTTGTAGTGGAGATGAGTGGTACCTGGTGGGGTCTTCTGCTGTTGTAGCCCATCCGCCTCAAGGTTGTGCGTGTTGTGGCTTCACAAATGCTTTGCTGGATACCTCGGTTGTAACGAGTGGTTATTTCAGTCAAAGTTGCTATTCTATCAGCTTGAATCAGTCGTCCCATTCACCTCTGACCTCTAGCATCAACAAGGCATTTTCGCCTACAGGACTGCCGCATACTGGATGTTTTTCCGTTTTCACACCATTCTTTGTAAACCCTAGAAATGGTTGTGCGTGAAAATCCCAGTAACTGAGCAGATTGTGAAATACTCAGACCGGCCCGTCTGGCACCAACAACCATACCACGCTCAAAATTGCTTAAATCACCTTTCTTTCCCATTCTGACATTCAGTTTGGAGTTCAGGAGATTGTCTTGACCAGAACCACACCCCTAAATGCATTGAAGCAACTGCCATGTGATTGGTTGATTAGATAATTGCATTAATGAGAAATTGAACAGGTGTTCCTAATAATCCTTTAATCGTTTGCCTAGTTAGCCTAATGTACTGGCTGAAAGAAAGAGCTGTACACTAATGAGCAGATGAATTATTTATTCATTAGTTTATCAGTAGAATGTCCTTAAATATCTACAAAGAAAAATGAACAGAAAATATACTTCAGAAACTCTATATTGAGCTTTATTCAACAACTGGACATTTAATAATTTCATCAGTAGATTATGAGAATATTCTCATGTGACTCACATTTATGATATGACAAGCAGAGTATTGTTATATATCCTCAGATACCACTAAATCATGTCAATGATGTTTTGTGGGAGAGACCTGACCACAGACTCACACGCCTTGTGATGATGCAGATTACGTCATGTGATCAATGGTCGGTGATGCAGGAAGCATGTTGTAGTGACTCACCCTCCGACTAGACACTTGCTCCTCTCGTGCCAACTCGTCTCTGCCTCCCCGAGGCAGTGCAGGCATCTGCCTCACCTCGCTTCTCTTTATGCTCTTCCTTCTCTCTGTGTGGCTAAAAGAGAGATATCATAGTCTGAGAGAAAAACGAGGAATAACAATAGCAAAGAGTGAACGGTGAGAATGAGTAGCCATGAAATCTGAGAAAGGAGCTAAAGACAACAGGGGAGAACAGAAAGAAAAAGAAAAGAAATTAGATACTTAAAGAAAATCAACAGGCAAAAAATGAGTGTAAAGGAAGTGAGAATAATAGCTTCTATGAGAATGAGAAGAGTATTAACTGATCTGCTGGTATTAAGAGTCGTCTAGGGCCATTGAATCACAAGTGGTCATCTGAGACGCATTACCGCTTTTTCACAAGGCCGTTAGAATAAGGTAGAAGAAAGTAGCTTGCTGATTTATAATCATGTAATCCTGAGTGGAGCATTCTCATGACCTAACTTAAAATCTGAGGTAATTAATTTGAGATACCTGGGATTTAAACTAAATTAAACTGGAAGGGAAATATTATTTACAAATTGACATATTTTCACATTTATGTTATTAAATGCCATATTAACAATCAGTACATAAGCTGAAATAGACTTCGAATTAAAGACACAAAGAGACTATTTGATGCAAAAGTCGGCAGCAACAATCTTAACTTTAAACATTTTTGCTGATATGAAGCCCCCCTTTTCAAAAATAAAGTGTAGAGTGATTAAAACAGCCATATGTATACTACCATTCAAAGGTTTAGGGTCTGTACGATTTTTTGTAATGTTTATGAAAGAAGTCTCTCATGCTCAACGAGGCGGCATTTATTTGTTAAAGAGAAAAAGTAAAATAGTAATATTGTCAAATGTTATTACAATTTTAAATAACTGTTTTCTATTTTAATATTTTGTTTTAAAATGCATTTTATTCCTGTGAAGGTAAAGCTGAATTTTCAGCATCATTACTCCAGTCTTCAATGTCACATGATAATTCAGAAATCATTCAAATATGTTGATTTGCTGCTCAAGAAACATTTCTTCTTATTATCAATGTTGAAAACAGTTGTGCTGCTTAATATGTTAATGGGAAGTAATATATATTTTTCAGTATTGTATTATAAAAGTCTTCACTGTCACTTTTAATCAATTTGACACAACCATTACATCCATCCGTGTAACAACTGTATGATAAAAAAAAAATAAAAAAATAAAAAGATATTGCATTTTATTCATTAATTATTTTATTCATAAAAAATATCAAAAGTTTCAAACACTTGTTTTTGCACAACTGATGATTGATAGATGAGTAATAATAATAATAATTTGTTACATTTATATAGCTCTTTTCTGGGTACTCAAAGCGCTTTACATGGAAGGGGGAATCTCCTCAACCACCACCAATGTGCAGCATTCACCTGGATAATGCGACGGCAGCCATATTGCACCAGAAGGCCCACCACCGCACACCAGCTTATTGGTGGAGAGGAGACAGTGATGAAGCCAATCAGTATGTATGGGGATGATAAGGAGGCCATGATGGACAGAGGCCAATGGGCAAATTTGGCCAGGATGCCGGGGTTACACCCCTACTCTTTTTCCAGAGGACATATAGGTGGAGTAGGTGGGGTAGGCCGTCTTTTGTGTTGTCCAGTGTGTATGTAGCATTTACACTACAAATGCTTATTAATGAGTATATCTATAGGGCAGGGGTCTGACCTTCTGGTGGGCAGTGGGATCCTCATGAGGGTCTTGTATCGCAGAAGCTCTCTGTGCAGCTCCATGAAGTGCTTTTCTTTTCTCTTGACTATCCAGGTGAAGTTCCCATGTTTGAGCTCTATCTTAAACACCGCTGGCATTGCCTGTGGACACAACAGTGATGTGAGATCTGTGACGACATCTTTCAGCCTTATAACTAGTTATAACTATTCAACCTTATAACCACAGACCTTGGACACGCCTCTGTGTTTCGAGATTTTGAAGCGGTCCGGAGCCCTGGTGAAGCGTTCCACTTCTAGGATCTTGGCAGTGATGGGGGCAGTGGTCAGGTAGACCTGCGCTTCGGTCTCTTTAAAGCCAACCGTCCTGTACACGGCAGAGAAAGGGATACAGGAAGCTCCTGTAGGAAAACAACAGTGCGGACTGAGGCATGCCTGTGGGGAATGTGAGCTCCGGTGTGTGTGTGCTAAATACTTCTTTTGACGTGCTGCATCATGTTACACAGTTGTCCTCACATACCTCTCTTTTACACGTCACACATTGCCCAGATCCCTGATTAGACAGACCTATTGTAACCCTTTTTCACTTCCTGTCTGAAAAATTATTGGCAAAATAAATCATGTTTCTCCAGTCTCACTTGTACTACTTAACTAACTAAATAGATGTATCCCACACACTGATATAGCTTGCAAACCTTAATTTATTACAAAGTTTAATTTATGCAACATTTATCAGGCATCGTTTTCAAACAGGAAGTTTTTTTTTTTTATTTAAAATATAAAATACAAAGCAGCCAACAATCCTTACAATCAATAGTAGCCAATAACATACCAGGCCAGAAAAAGTGACACTAGCCTGGCTAACGTCATGTTCACGTCTGGGAACCACATGTTCATATTCTCATATTTGAGGCGTGGTTTACGAATGCCCAGAGCCGTTTATTGGGTGCTACGAATGTCTATCAAATGCGCCTGTACGTAGCTCATAGCCAATCGTTTCAATTATACCAGATGACGTATGTAGAGCGAAAGAAATTAGACGAGGAAGAAGATGATGGGTCAGAGATTTATTTGCGTTCTAAACTACTTAGAACAATATCCAAGGCTGCATCGAAAGGTAACTTCGCATCCGCTGCCATGTTTGATCCATAGGTATAAAAAAACTGCTTTTGTGTTTCGCATAGACGTCGTCATCGTCTTGCTGCTCCCTCCCCGTTCTGTGATTGGTCCCCTCGCTGAGGCGAAAATTTAGTCCATGGTATCCAGACTGCCTAGCAGCGTGAATAAAATCGCGCTGCGCAAAGGCAGTATGGGGAAACCCAGGCTAACAACCTACTTCAATAGATCAACAATTAAATACAATTAGCCAAAATACGTGCATTACACACTATACTTCCAATGACAGACAAACAGACCATAGTCAACTAGCCTTCTAGTATTATCTCCAATTACCCCTATAAAACTGATCCACATCCAAATGGGGTAACGCTTCCTTTTACAGTCCTGTTACCCATGTACTTACTATGTACTTATAGTAATTATAATTACTGGGTAATAACTAGGTACTAACCCTGAACCTACCCCTAACCCATGTACTTACCTTATATTAGCCAGTACTTTCTAGGTAAGTACACTGTATGTACACGTAAGTACTGTACTGTAAAAGGAAGCGTTACCCCAAATGGATTATATGGGTCTGAATTAATAATACTAATCACTCACCTGAGGGGTTGAACTCTGAGTCCACCTCTTCAGGTTCATCCTCAGTATCTGAGAACCCCAGTTCCCTGGTGTCCAGGTTCTCCACAGCGTCACTCATGTCTGCTTTTATCCGATTGAGTTCCTTCTTATGGGCTCACTGAAACATTCAGCACTCTTCAGCCTGAAGGCCCAGCATTGCCTGTTTGAACACACACAAACACACGTCCAGTCAATACCCTAAAGATATGGTTCTCATCTATTGTAGAAAGGAAAGAAAATACTAAATATCCTCAAAATATAATAATTAAACAAATAACTATTCATAATTAGTATTGCAAACTGTTTAGCAACTTCTAAAAAGGAAGGAGAAAATATTTTGCTGTCAATGTCAAAGTTGTCAATCCAACCAAACTCTAGTTTTGGATCAAACTCATCTATGACTTTGTAGCAAGTAAAATGAGTTAAATTCCATCACAGACAGGCTGTGTGACATGCTCTCATTCTTGAAAATCATGAATATTAAATATTCACTAGCAATAAAGATACATTTGGTTTGTGCCAACAATAATTTGTTTTGTGTAGGTAGGGAATCATTGCCTGCCAAGTGCATAAAATACTGAAATTCAATTTCGTATGATAAACAAATCCAGTACTGTGTTGATGTCCGATTTCAATTCTGGGACCTGAAGCAAAACCAGCTCTAATCTAATTACATTTAATTAGTTGGTAAAGCAACCTATGTCTTTTTCATATTCTTTTTCATTCAGAAATGTGTCATGTTTCCATTGTGCTTGGTACATTTGTGTAACATGATAATGTAATTTAATGTTCCTGTTTAGTCATAAAAACCTTTGTAATTATATATTATATTATATTATTCAGTAACAGTATTCTATTGTTACAAAAAAATGTCTATTTAAAACAAGTGCTGTTCTTTTGAACTTTCAATTCCTGAAAAATGTATGATGTTTTTTAAACAGTACAATTGTTTCAACATTGATAACAGTAAGAAATGTTTCTGGAGCACCAATTCAGCATATTGACACTTAAGACTAGACTGGAGTAATGGCTGCTGACAATTCAGCTTTGCAAGCACAGTAAATTAAAATTACATTGTAAAACAATTAATGATCCATGCTAACCATCCAAATCTTGACCTCATAGTTTGCTCATTTCTATTTAAAACATTTCCTCTTTCGATCAGGCCAAAGGTCAGAGGTCAAATGTCTTCTCCTGTGGAGCATGTGGTCCCTTTAGTGAATATTATTCTAATAATACACACAAGATCAGATCAGTGTCATTCTCTCGCAAAAACAGTTATTAAAAATGAGGCCACATCCTGTTTTCTGCAATACCACTGGGAGCAAAACCAAGAAAATTCCCCAACCGCCAAAACAGTTCAGGAATCTTAGTGATAATTGCTTTCAGAAATACAGAATCCAAGAAGCTGTTCACTACTCATTCCTTCATATTTCCTTTAATATCATTCTGCCAGTTAGTAGTATAATTGAGATGTTGAATATGAATTCAGATCTGAACGTGACAGGAATAGTGACCCATCTGAAACTATAAATACAGTTAAACTATAGAGTGGGAGGTGAGATGATGCCACAACAGAGTGATCATATGTCACTGAAGCCATTAAACAAAATCATCACCAACAGTGACGGAAAAATGTGAAGGAAACAATGAGCAACATGGTATAAAGTACAAAGGGGAAAATAACGACTCAAAATTATTATAGAAAAATACTGAAACTGAGCAGCTGAGTCACCGCTTGTTACTAACACAACTCACATCAACAAGTTCACCAAAACAAAATGTAACCACTAACACTACTTTTCAAGCCTTTCACACAAAAAGTCAACATTTGTGTTCTTACAACAAAAATATAATTATTAGAGAAAATAAGAGGAAACACACAGGGCTGCTCTCTCGATTTGTCTCTAAAGAAAGACTTTAGTTGCTTTCCTTTAGACTGCAGTGATTTTGCTGCCAAGCACACATTCTCTCTAACTGCCCCACAAAACCTTCTATTAAACATAATGGAACATTTTCTCCTCTCATTGGTTGGTTGCAGTGGTCTGCATAGTACAGATTCTAGCTGGTCTGTTCAATCTGATCGCATAATGGCCATTTAAAATGTGTGGAAGAGAAATTATGTGTGCTAGAGACTCGAAAGAAGCTGAAACGTCTGAACTTCCCATTTTACATGAGACAAGTTTAACAGTGAGGTGTGGCTTTTTGGCAACTCTTTAAATCTGAACTCATTATGACATCATCTTTTCCAGTCCAGCTACCTTTAGAAGCTTCTGCTTAACTCGGAGAAACAAACTCAGTCCTGAAATCCATTCACAAACAAAGAGACAACACTGGTATGTTTCAAATCATTCTTCGCTACAATGTCACTGCTCTCCGAAAATATCAATCAGGACTTTCTTTCAGTCAATGTGAAATTGGAATTCTGTACTTTCTCGGTGTATGTTGACATGTCTGGTCTTCCTGTGAATGATTTGTCACTGCAAATGGTTTCAAAGGGAAAAAAAAGTTGTCATTGTAATATCAAATCTATATAATAACTTTTTCAGCTGACATAATTTTGGCTCTTCAGGTTATACAGTAGGCATTATTTTAAAATGCTCCAATTAAACTCACTCCGTCCCCATTCTGGTATATGAAACTCCAATTTTCCCCGATCAAAAAAATTACAGCCTTACAGAGTAGTAAAATAGATTTACTTCAATTTTTTGTCTATATGGTGACCGTGTTTACTGTAAATATACAGGACGGTCTAGTGGGTTGTCTAAACAATAATGGTACAGGAAGAAAGGACTCATTCACTCTCTCTGTGTGTAGGTGAACATTTATGACTGTGTCGTATCTCATGCGTGTCTCCCACCTGTGCACTGCCCTTTAGAGCCAGCTTTAAAGAGATGTGCAAAGATCAGAGAGGGGCAGTGAATCAGCTCACTCCGTTGGTACAAAATTGCATTTTTATGATTCTTTAGATATATTCTTCTAGCCCAACCCTTACAATCTCAGAATGGAGCATTCAAGAGTAAAGGGGCATATATTTACTGTTTCGAGATTTATATACACACGTGTGATTTAACAGACAAACATCTGTTCCGTGTGCTGTACGGCAGAGACAAAAACTAGGCTAATTCTGGCTAATATGGCTGAAGTGAACGATTTAGGAGGCAAACTAAACCCAAAACATACTCTATTTAAAAGCTGCCAAACATACTGTACAATAACACTAAGCTATCATTTAAAACTATGGGAATTATTTGGGAAACATCATTTACTTCTACCCAGGGAATAGTTTGCCTTCAGTTTGCTCATCAATATACAATATGTTTGTCCAGCAGCTCTCTTTGAGACGTGTTATATTGAAGAGGAAACAAAACAAAAGCTCTGATAAAAAGATAAACATATGTGATCATTGGCTCTCTGCGGCTCTTAATAAACAAATCTTGATGTAAATTATCTAAAGGAGGACATAGGCCATGCAGTGAACTGTAGAAAATAACTGGAGTACATTGAGAACTTTGAGTGCTCTATCTGTTAGACAAGCCAAGCACAAGTGTACCTCACTTTCATTTTCAGTATTTTGTCTTTTATCTTTTTGTCTTTTCAGTATATTGCCAAGAAAAATAATAAACATTTCTTAAAACAAGAAAAATGTTCTTGAAGCAATATTATATATTCGACATAGATATAGTATATTATACTCAGATATTATATATAGTGTATTTTTCAGTGAGAACGTTCTGTAGATGGGATATCAGCTGTTGCTTCCTGCCAACAAGTTCCTGCCCATTGTAATTCGACATGGAGACAAGGCTAACGGCATTTGGGAGGAGAGCAAAAAAAATATTATGCAACCACATAGGTTAGAGCTTTATGAAAAACTGCTACAGACACTGGAGTCACTTGTGTGTGTTGGGGCACGCATGAGGCTAAAGAATTGTGAACATGTGACATGAAGCCACAAACAAAAGTAATCCATTCATCTTTCATATTAGGATGGGCTGTGTCATCAAATGACAGTCTTCATGTAAGTTTCAAACGTCCTTGCCAACATGATGTGCAGTTCGACAGGACTGTTTTTAGCTTGATTTTTATTAAGATCTGTTTTCAGAGCAAATGCACTTTGCACCTGAAGGCAATTTATGACAGGACGGTGTTCACCAAACCAACCAGCACTGCAGTTGTTCTGTCAAGTGTCTTTTTACACATGTTAGAGATAGCATAAAGTTCCCAGCAGCTCAGGGTCAAAAGTCTCTCGCATTCTGATTAATGAATGACACGATTCAAATATAAGAGATAAGTAAACAACAAACAGGGCCATTTAAAACACAAGCCAATGAAAACAAAATTAGCCAAACTGAGAAAGTGTCAGACTAAAGGGTGTACTGCATTTATAGTAAATTGAGTTAAAAATGTACTATATTAAATTGTAGTGTATTGTATCCATGCCCTTTAGCACAGTTGAAAAAAAACACAAGACCCCAAATCCAAATTGACTTTCCTCTCTCTTGTGCACTGGTCACACATTCCACCATGGATACAAAAGCCTCTCACACTGGGGTGAGACAGGAGTCAAGGCATATCGGTACCAGAAAGATTTTCACATGTCACAGTTATATACACACATACACACACACACACACACACACACACACATTCATTCATTCATAACAGTTGCTAGAAATTTCCAAGTCGTCATTCCTTCTAACTCTTCAAGCTGAGAAACAAGTTTGGAGCAGAGCATGGAGCAACAACAAACTGCACAAAGTTTCACTGACCTGCCCTGGTAGACGTGATTCCCACATGATAAATCAGCTGTGTTTGACTCCTACAACAATGAAACTTAAGACTAACTCATAATTTCGCAGACAGCGTTAAGAGAGTCTCTCTCCTTTTCTGTGACTCTACACAGACTAAACAAGAGGCCAGTGGAGAGATCAGTCATAGGCCAATGTCTTTGAACGGGGCGGGGCCTTTCCTGGATTCTGAAGTGTCAGTCGCAATCGCTCAGCCAATCAGGATCAGAAAGTCACAATATGCTCCTCCCCTCCGCAGCTGTTTTATGCATATACCAACTGATATCTTCCCATGAAAAAGAAGAAATGTTTGTAGCTAATGGCTAATTTGTAGCAACTGTTGTTTTTCACAGATATCAATGACAATTAAATCAGTGATTTAAAAAAAAGCAAATGGAGACTTTAAATATCTTGCTTATATTTTTCTAAAAAATCTAAAACATAGTAGTAATCTCACATATATCATCTAGAGTTTTAGAAGAGCTCTCAACAAAATATGAAAAATGCAGAGTTATTTTTCTAACCCAAATGCTGGGTTCAGCCTGTTGGGTCATTTTATTGGGTCAGTTTTTAATATTTTTCCTGCACAGCTGCTGTTTCATTTGTAGCCTACTGTCAATACAATTGATGAACCCCCTCGCATTCCTACCCAGAGCTGGGTCAATCGTAACCTAATGTTGGCTAGTCTGTGCCAAACCGGTTAAAACTGCATACATTTGTCAATGCGGTCATTTTCAATTCAATTCACGTTTATTTGTATAGCGCTTTTCACAATACACATCCTTTCAAATTTCAAAGCAGCTTTAGAGAAAGTCCAAGCAGCTTTACAGAAAGATTCACATCTGAGTGAAATAAATTTTGTATTACATTGTAGTTCTATCATAACATTACTCCACAAATAGGAAAACGACTTTTGTTTAAATGTAAGCTACGTCGCAGCTAATGTCAAACGCTAGGATCTCAAAGCGAACGAAGCGCCGGCGCCATCATGGAAGTTTCACCTCCCGCCATCAAACGAATGTGCAACCAGGCATCGACATTGCTGTTCAAAGTTGCCGTGCGCTCCACTCAGAGGCGGCGCCAGGGGGGGTCTTGGGGGGTCTCAAGACCCTCCCAAAAAATGCTTTGACCCCCCATTTGACCCCCCACCCCCTTCCTGATTAAAAAAAATATATATCCGGGATAAATATTTAAAAATGTTTATCTTCAAACTACGCAGAACAATAATAATTAATAATTTATTCGACATACAAAATATATAAGAATCACGTTCCCTCTAAGCTGCGCGCGTGCGCGGTCGTGCACTTCTGATGCCGCGGCCGCGCAGAAAAGAATAATATGCCACGCAGAGGGCTGACGCGAAATGTGTGGGGAAATCCATTTGATTGTATGTGAGAAATAATTGCAGTGCTCAAACTGGTGAGTGCAGTTAACAGGTTTCAAAGAAAGAGAATGATGTGAGCGCGTGTGATTGGCAGTGAGTCGTGTGTGCGGACCAAATAGCCTATCTCAATACGAGAGGCGACGAGAAACGCAAAGACATGTGAAATAAAATCACAATATCATGTTTTAAAGAAGAGTGGTTTGATTAAAGTGGTGGAAATAACGGATGATGGACACAGAACGGTAACAATTACACACCCACCCGCGTGCAAACTCAAAATACATCATTAGTTTACATAGATTTAAATAGTTTCAGGCATGGTTAGATTAGGCTACTATAAAAGAGTTCACATATTGACTTTTCTTGAAAATATTTAGCTATTAGATCTAGCTATTTACAGTAAATGCTTCAGTTTGTTTTCATATTATAATAATATAATATGAAAACAAATTGAAGCATTTAAACTATTACTTCAAATACTTCAATTCATTTTTTTATATTATATTATATTGGGCATATATTTTATTATATTATAAGCCTAAATAAAGAATCTCACAAGGGTATTGTTTAGGGCTCATTGCCATTAAAAAGTTTGAAACCCCCTGCTAAAGAAAATATAGGCTAGGAAATTCATAAGCTATAAACAATCATTTAACTTTGATGGTTTAATGCTGCCTGTACAATTAATTGACTGTACAAAAACACTTTATGGTTTTCCTAAACCATCTCAGTGTAACAGCTTAACTTTCTTTTATAATATATTATATTATTGTAAAGAATTGAACTGTCCTGCAGAAGATTTTGTAAATAATTTTTCATAGGATTTCTTAGTAAAGACTGGAAACAGAGGACACCGAGGAATTGGAGGATGAGGAGGATACTATTTTGTAAATATGTTTTCTGTCATGGGTGTGGCTATGGCAATTAAAGTTCGAGCATATTGTTTGCAAACTGCAATTGATTAATTAATTAAAAACAAAAAACCGTCGGTGTGTGAATGGGTGAATGTGAGGCAATATGTAAAAGCGCTTTGGTGGCCATTGGGTCTGTGAAAGCGCTATATAAATGCAGTCCATTTACCATTTGTTAAGTAGGAGCAATATGCAGTTATTAGCCGTGTCCACTGTATTTTTTGTTGGTTTTCATGAGACCCCCCTTGAAATGACCAGGACCCCCCATTGCCCCCCCAATCAAAATTGTCTGGAGCCGCCACTGGCTCCACTGACTACAATGTATGTAAAAAAAATAAAGCTGTTTTTAATGTAACAAACGTGAATATGAGATTGTAATTTAGAACTGCCTGATAGGGTAGGCCCTACCTTAAGAAACATGTGTTTTTCACTATTCCCATAGTATGTATGACTGTATTTATACAAATACTTTAGCTAAAGTAATATGTCTGGAATAATATCTAATTCATACTTGTTCAAATTTTGATTTTAGATTTTCAGATGTCCACTTGAGTGGACAGTATGCGTTTATGGTTTTAACCAAAGATACTGTATTATTAACACAGCAATACTGTGTGTATTTAATAAACCTTGAATATAAATGTATGTAAAAACTATTAAAAAAAAAAACCCTAAAAAAAACACCGTTGTGTATCTTTGATATCAGAACATGAGGACGTGATTCCATCAAAGATCTCTACAACCTGCCAAGGTACAACTGTGGAAACTCAACTGAGATGCTCAGTGTACCAGAGTATGTCGATTTACCCTTATTAGCTGATAATTCTGATTAGGTTAAAGATGGACACATTTCTACCAAAGCTCTCCTGTGAGAAAACCTAGCAACCACATGTTTTTAATCTCATCTGAAATGAGCAGTGGTTAGGTGATGCATTACAAGTAACATGCATAACGCAATCAGATTACTTTTTTGATGTAAGGAGTAAAGTAATGCATTACAAGGAACATGCATTACATAATCAGATTACTTTTTGATGTAAGGAGTAAAGTAATGCATTACAAGTAACATGCATTATGTAATCAGATTACTTTTTGATGTAAGGAGTAAAGTAACGCATTACAAGTAACATGCATTATGTAATCAGATTACTTTTTGATGTAAGGAGTAAAGTAATGCATTACAAGTAACATGCATTATGTAATCAGATTACTTTTTGATGTAAGGAGTAAAGTAACGCATTACAAGTAACATGCATTATGTAATCAGATTACTTTTTGATGTAAGGAGTAAAGTAACGCATTACAAGTAACATGCATTACGTAATCAGATTACTTTGTTGATGTTACAAGTAAAGAAATGCATTAAAGTTACATGCATTACATAATCAGATTACTTTTTGATGTTACGAGTAAAGTAGTGCATTACAAGTAGCATGCATTACGTAATCAGATTACTTCTTGATTATACTTTTTGAATTTAAAGAGTTCTTCCTTGCTAAATAAAAGTATTAATTTCTTAATTTACATTAACTTAATTTACAACAATCGTAATTTACAGTAACAGCTGTGTAAAGTCTTGTTCATGAGGTCTCATGCATGAGCTCTGACGTCGCTGCAGCTACATATATGTTAAAATGACAAACATCGTCCCTGATACTTGGAGGTCGAAATGCCAAACCAACTTATCTCCAGGCTGCTCAGCAGTCAGGGCCATAGTTTACCCTTGGAGCAGTTTGTTCTGCTCCTCAAACAAACTGCAAGCATTTTCCTGAAGCCCTTCCTCTCCAACAATCCATCTATGGTGAGGAGAGTTCCACTCCACTGTGTCTAAATGGATTAATCACTGAAGAACAAGAGCAAGACGCCACACTAAAGGACATCACAGCGAATCTGACGCTCTGTGGCCGACAACAAAGACAGAGGAGAAGATAGACTTCTGAGCACCATAAATCATTTATATTTTCAATTTTCCGCCTTGTCTGATGCAGGACCTCTGGTCTATGGAGTCTGTAATAATTACCACGGCAGGGTGTGCCAGAGCGGCCATACCTTTGTTCAAATGGCAGGCAATGCCATTTATCACAGCCGCAAGCAAACATCTCTGTCTTTCTCTCACACACAAAACAATATCAGCTGAACCGCAGACCTTTAAGTGCATAAGAGAGATGGGGAAGTAATATAAAGAGAGACAGTGCAATGTAAGGTAAACAAAGATTAAAAGAAAAGTTACAGAGTTTGATGGCTTTGCATAGCAGCTAGTTTCATTACTGTCACATGAGCTCATCTATTACTAACAACACTTACTCACAGGGAGAACACTAAATCTAAACCTCTTTGATAACAAACTCAGGGCCATCATACTGTCAAGTAGACCATTGTGGACAATAGTGGACTAGTGCCCACTATACAAAAAAATGATAGTTTTATAGTTCTTTTTAAAGACTGCAAACTATAGTTTATATGTGATTTGATATTACACGCATATACATAATGCCGAATCATTTTTTTTTTACTGAATCTTAAAGGATCAGAATAGTATTACAAATTACAAAAGTATTACATACAGCACTCTTGCCCTCTAGTGGACAGTATTTAACTCTGCCCCTTTGAAACTTCATTCTAACCATGTACAGTATATGTGTGCATACAGGCAAGCAAGCATGGATCCTGAAGAAAGGAGATTTGCCTTCTCAGTCATTTGTGTTCCTCAAATCCTTTGGAGTAATAGGTAAAATAAAACCTGCTATCTGT